ATTTATTATTATTATTTTTATTCTAGTGATAAAGTAATTATATATATATATATATATATATATATATATATAAAATAAAAGTGAATTATACTCTCCTCCCTAAGATATATATGTTGCACTACCATATTCGTGACACCCTCTACCCCAACATACATATACAATAATTATAAAAACATATTCCCAGGGTAATAAAAATCTTTTGAATCAAAAGAATGATTCCACTAACATAAGAGTAGAGAATTCACATTCATAAACATAAATCATGGTCAAATATGAAATTTACAAGAAAATGAAACATGAGTTTTTTCCAAAACAAAATAACAAAAAATGAAATCCTAAACTAAGCCTAATTATGCCTCAATGTCACATATCCTATTAGAGCACGCCCAACTGAAGCCTAAGCCTCATCACCAACATCCTCATGTTGATGATCACCTGCTACACAATAAAATACACATAGAGCAAACAAGGGAGTGAGAAACATTTCACTTGAGTTCAGGTGTAAAAATAATAGTCAGGCAGCACACACAAGTCCTAACAAGAACATCCATAGCTACACATTAATCAGGCACAATTTTAAATTATACATACAACCGTAACACATACATAGTCATTCATCACGCAATGATGTCATGGACTCGACTCATAAATGCATGCATGTAGCGCCAGTCACGTGTCTCATAATCACATATCACGTGGTATGTTGCCGAAGCAACATACCTGGAGTAGTCTAGGAGTACATGCCGACTCTACCGTGCACTCCCATCTAGAAAGATGTACTGCTAGGGTCTCGTCGGGATAACGAAGCCGCACAAGATACGTCCCATGCACACAAACGGGCAGAAATGGGCCTTTCAAACCCCACTATCCCTTAAGACTCCCCTAAGATGTTTCACACTTGGAGGGCCTTCCTTAATGATGTACTCCATATTGTATCCCGTCATATAAATGCATATGATGCATGCCACGCATTCACAAACTCATGGACTCATCATTTCACTTGTCATAGTTACTCATATATCATGTTTCATTGTCACATATCATCATATTTCATATCTCATATTCACTTTTCACATTGTCTCATCATATTCTCATAATCTCCACAGAGCACTCTAATTCATATCAAAACTTATCTATTTTTTAAATTAAACACATCTTTACACTCAACATCGCACCAAGAACGCAATGAAATATTCAAAAAGCAAAACAGAAAACTTTCATAAAGTGTCTGTTCCTCATAGAGTTTCCTGTAGGAACTCATAGAGCACTCTAATCCATATCAAAACATATCTATTCTTGAAATTGAACGCATATTCACACTTAGAATCACACAATGAAAACAAAAGACTTTCATAAAGTGCCTGTTCCTATCTGGCAAGGGATTGGGGGCCAATCCTGCTACCTGACAGTTATTCCCACATCCTTGAGTGAGATTTCTCACTCCCCCTTACCTTGATAAGTAGAAGATGAAGCTAGAGGAGAATCTTGCTGGTCTCCTTCTCTTGGTTCTCCTTGGTCTTCAGAGAGCGTAGAAGAAAATGAAGTCAGAAGCGTAGAAATGCTTTTGGTAGTGCTAGAGTATGTTATTTATACACGTCAGAACTGACTAGAACGGTCCGTTTCAGATTCGGAACGGCTCGTTCTAGGCAATTTCGTTATGGGTAAAATGTGAATCTGGAACATCCTGTTCCCAAAGTGGAAGGGTCCATTCTGGATTCAAATTTTACTCATAACTGCATGTGTTAGAACGACCCGTTTCAATCTAAGGTTTATAGGCCTTTTTAATAGTTTAGAACGACCTGTTCCAATTTGGAAACGACCCATTCTAGGCTACTAAATCATCCTTATTGGACTTTGAGCCTTCTGAAAATCGAGATGTTACAATATTCTCTTATGTTAAAAGTTATCCCTTGAGATATTCTAATATATGATACTTTACCTATTTTTTTTTATTTTAAATTTTGTTAAATTTTTGTTAACATTGTTACAAAAAGATATTATTATCTAAACACTTTTTACACTAATATTCTCTCACATATGTAAATACTATACCACCCTCCTTTCTTGTGTTAAAATAAATATTTTCCTCTATTAACAAATTCAAATATGACACTCTAATAATTTATCTCTTAATGTACATATTTAATTACTATTTTTTAAAATATTATAAATTTTTTAAAATTAAATACATGTTTTTAAAAAAATATTTTTCACTATTAATTTTATGAAACCTTTTTTAAGTTATATATATAAAAAATAATATATGTGACACCCTTACTACCCCAACATATATATTGTAATAATAAAAACTTATAAATAATTTTTTCAATTTCGGTAAAAGGGTTCACATGAGAATCTTAAAAATTATCCTTCAATAACCACAATAACAAAAATGAAACGCAAGAGTTTTCAAATTATTTTCAAAAATAACATTTACAATAAAAACCTATGTTCTAAAAAATCCTTTGCCCCGATGTCACAATATCATAGCATCCCGACAATTCAACCGTTGGCATTCTAGATACCACTCGCAGCCAGATCTTCCTCACCTAAAATATCCACATATCGCATGGTGAGAAAAGAAAACATCTATATATATAGCACATAAGAAAACACAATATATTATCTCATTATAACTTAATATTCATAAATATTTCAACATATCGTATTTCAATCAATCATGCATCGTCATCACGTCATAATTCTCAATCACCCAAATCATCACAAATCTTGCACTTCACACTATGCCAAGGTCACGCTACCCATTTAACAATCTCAGGCCGTGCTCACCCCTGATATAACACTGTGCCAAGGTCACGTTATCCCTATCCCAGGGCCGTGCTCACCCCTGACATGTTAACCAAGGTCACGATACTCACGTAACAATCTCGGGCCGTGCTCACCCCTGGTCATAGGTGTGAAGAACCACAATCACATCTCATTCACATTCCACACAACATCTCATAATTCAATTCCATACGCACATCTCAAGCAATTCACATCTAAGTCATCAATTTTTATTAAGTAATATAGCAATAATATTCATAAATTAATATAATAATCAATTTTAATACAATCTTAACATAAACGATAAATTTCCCAATTATTCCAACACCTAACTCACAGGCACTTTTCTACAGTTTCGTTCTTCCTCTCAGGTCATCATTCTTACAAATTATTGGCATATTTATAACCCTCATCATATACAGAATCTAATCATTCTTACAAATTATTGGCATATTTATAACCCTCATCATATACAGAATCTAATGGGATCATCCATTCCTCAAACAGTAATCATCCAACTTTTCACAACCTAACTTACAGACACTTTTTTTATAATTTCGTTTCTCTCCCAGAGCATCATTTTTACCAATTAATCATATATCCATGTTCCTAAATACATACATAATCAAATAAGACCAATAATTCTTCAAACAGAAATAATTATAAAATTAGGGTTCTTCCTCTACCCAATTTCCTCATGTAACTCTACATATAAATAATTCCCTTTTCCCCGTACCTGGATAAGAAGAAGCTGAATCTAGATATGTAGAAGCTGAATCTACACTAGATCTGGTTGATCTCCCTCGTTGGGTTCCCCTCGGTCTGAAGTAGAAAGTAGAGGAAAGAAGAGAGAGAGAGCAGAAGAAAAGAAATCAGAAATGAGAGGTGTGCTTTTTGGGAGTGGCAAACAGCTCTATATATAGGCATTCTGCGTCGGAACGGCCCGTTCCAAATCTGGAACGGCCCGTTCCAAATTTGGAACGGCCCGTTCTGGACCCTTAAACCATGGCTAAAAATCACATCCATAATGGCCCGTTCCAAAACCAGAACGGCCCATTCTGGTGTGCATTAATTACACCCAACGGTCATAATTTTGGGAACGCCCCGTTCCAAGCCCGTTCCAATTTAGGGTTAATGACATATTTAATAGTCCAGAACGGCTCGTTCCACCTTGAGAACGGCCCGTTTTGGGCTATTAACTCACATTCAATTTGGTAGTTTGGAACGGCCCGTTCCAATTCCGGAACAGCCCGTTCCAAACTAGTAAATCACATAC